CTTGATTTGGCCGGTGGCTATAAAGTTTTGCAGGATGCTAAATGAATTTTCTTGCTTCATTGAGATTATGTATTACATATATTAAAATGCTGATTCAATGACAAAGGTCGTTCAGTATTGCACAGAAAAACCCGTTCATATTTTTCAATACAAACGCAGTAACATATGATGATAAAATATTGGATCCTCTCCAGTATAGCCGAAATGACTTCTGAAAATGACATATTCAGACTATGCTACATATTCGATGAAATATTTCCATTAGATTTCTCAATTGATATATAAGCATATCATCATCGACGTCTTTTGTAAATAAGAATTAGAACAGTGAATATACTTGAAGGAATGACAATTTGGAAGTGATCGTTTATTTACCTGCGACACAAAAGCAATGGAGTGTGCACCAACGGATTTTCCGTAGGCTCCAAACATCTTCCGTTGCTTGACGGGTTCTGGTGTAGGAATAGATGCATTCGGCATCCCTGTTTAGAAGAAAGTGTCAACACCTCGTATATTTGATAGTTTATTATCTTTCAAAGGATTTTTCCCTGTAAATTAAAGTTCTCTGAGAATTTGTAACTGATCACATTTTTGTTAGAATTTAACTTCTGCTGATGGCAGCTCCAACTCTTTCTAGAAAAAGAACATTTTCAACTTTCCTGCCTATGTACCATATTATAGAATCATATAATTTTGAAGATTACAATTGACTAGTAGGAACTATAACTAGATATAATTATAATTGCCTGTCCTGTTTCCACTTGGTGCCTATTATTAGCATACGTGATTGTTTTACTTTTTAAATTTAAAATTGAGCGATACATCAAACAGTGCTCATCCATTTGCGGGAAGGCGAGGGAGGGTTTATTCACATGTATTTGCAAAGAAACAAGAAAGGATCCTTTCTCTGCGTCGAATCAAATATCCCATCATCTTTACGTCAGAAGAATCTATTCATAGGATGCGAGCATCCTACCTATACTTTAGTAATCTCTTAGAGGATAGTGGTGTCACTCTTCTAATGGACGAAATAGTACAACCAATCCATTAGGCAACATACTCCTGGCTTGATGTTCCTAACTAGAATGAATCAATGGTTCTTTCCAAATAATTCTTCCTTGGGTAATCCAGCGAGAGCCGTAAAATCAGAACCCATAGCATTGACGTGCAGACGTTATTGTGGTTTGGTGGTTGCTGAAGATGACTTCCACTGGATCAACTAAATTTATTTTCCTTCGTGGTTTCGAACGTAGAAATTGGTGATAATTGCTTGTGACTGTCAGCCTACACCCTCAACGATGAATCACACCGGCAGCTGCATTCTAAACCCACAATAGAAGAGAGTTTAAAATGTGTTGTGAATTTTTGAAAGCCGTGCTTCGCCATTAGCGGGGTCAGAATGTCCAGACCGAATGATCTAAGGTCTGCGAGGTGATGTGCTGTTTTTCACTTTTCACTGTTAGAAACAGTCTGGAAACAGTCTCTATTACAACAGTCTCTATTGGACGCGATGAATACTTTCAGTACATTGAAATTAGACCTTTTCAGCAGCGAACTGGGTTCGGAAGTCCTGCCTCTTTCGATGGGTCTAGCATGAAAATGGATCAAAGTAAAACTTTTAAGTTTCTGCTGAAGGCAGAGAATTTGTCGCGTCGAGCTTGGTTGTGTCCTTAAAATAATCAAAACATCCACAGGAAATTGAAAAGAGTTTTGGATCCATCAAAGGAGTATGAAGCACTTAACCCAAAATGCTAAACCCAGTGCGATTAAGAAGCACGTGCTATAGGATAGGATTTTGGTATCGCCCTGGACAAAGTGCAAACTTGGAAAAATGAACCAAGATAAGACCAGCAAGAAAGACCCTTCTGGGTACAACCCTAAGCACTGGTAACTACTTAGGTAAAAATGTGACGGTAAATCTAAGAGGTCATCATCTTCGACATCTGATATTCTGAGGTGTCTGAATGCGAAAGATGTCGAACAAAATGCTTGCTAATTGGTGAATCAAAACCTGCAAAGCTGTAAAAGCAACATATCATTGTATTTTGCGCCAGATAGTGAAGACCTTCCACCTTTCTTCGTATGCCTTTGAAACGAACTGACCTTCTAGCTCGCGTGAGTCTCTATTCGATTGCAGGTGTGAAAACTCTTAGCTCAGCGCCTTTCATCCCCTCCCCCAAAGAAAATAAAATGTGCGATGGTGCAGACGGTGTTCGTCGGGGCAGGGATAACATTTTAGCGTTCTGGGTTATTTAAATCCGTTGGGGAAAGTTCAAACCTTTTGGAAATGTCTTTCGCAATCAGAACTATTTTGCAATTTTAATACCTTATCTTTGGAATTACTATGGGAATCAGAATCGTATGAGGGAAGGTGTAGCTGATGTTCCCTTCCAAGCTGATCGACTGAAAACCCATTGCTCAGCATCTGGGTCTAGTACTGGCGACATAAAAGTTGACAGTTTGTGATTACACCTGGTGGCTAATAAGTCGACTATCAAATGACACCACAGGGTTCATATCCGAATGAATCAACCCCGTTAGCCACCCAACGAAAAGATATTGTAATATTATATATATATATATATATATATATATATATATATATATATATATATATATATATATATATATATATTATAATTGCATCTTCGAGTTGCTTCCCTTACATACAATTCTTAAAGTACACGTGGTATTAATAGAAGAAAGAATATTCGTTCACTTGTCATATTCCGCATTACACATGCTCCAAGGATAAAATGCCAAGAACTATAGATGGGGATATAAAAAAACTCACTGGTTTTTCACCGATTTGGTTTAAACAGAACATACTTTAATTATCTTAAGTTCGTCATTTTTGAAGAAATATTAGCAATAACAAGAATTTAAATTTATAAATAAATTCTAATTTTTTAAACATTTTTATACAGATATCTATGAAAATAAGCACTTAACATTATCTACACTCTAGAGTAGACGTTCAAAATTCTGTGAATTTCAATACACTCTCAATATCTGTACAAATTAGTTTTCTTTCATACGCTGGGAGTTCTCATAAAGTTATTCACCAATTGGAACGTTCAACATTTGGAAATTTATAAACTAACTCTACATTCAAGAGCAAGCGATTCCAAATTATATCATCTTTAATTTCATGAAAAGAACTTAAGTCTAAACTTAGATATATGTCTAGAATTTAATTATATAATTGCTTAAAATTTAAGCCTTAACTGAAATTTGTCAATCAATTGTCTTTAGGTGAGACTTTATTTAAGATAAATGTTAGTGAAATTAAGTCCTAAAAATTTGCGCCATGAGTTGTCTTAATGTGGAATACAAAATTTCAGAATTCTTTGCATTGTTACCCTTACAAACAAATGTTCAAGCATCGTTTTACAGTAATTAGGTAAAAGAGACTTGACCGTTTTATTATTATTATTATTATTATTATTATTATTATTATTATTATTATTATTATTATTATTATTATTATTATTGCCACAACGAAAGTTAGGCGATCTTTACCAACCATCATACCGGATTATTTGACATTTTTGTTGCGTTATAATTATATCTCTAGAAGTTAACAAGATTAAATAATATGCAAATTCCACACTTTGACGTTTCGTGCATATAAATTTTACTTACCCATCTGACTCCAGGCAATCTGTCCACCTTTAATGATTATTTCTGGTTTTGCACCAAAGAAACCGGGACTCCACAGAACTAAATCAGCAAGTTTACCAACCTGAATTAATTAAAAATGTTCACTGTATCAGACCTTTTGGTTTAAATTACCCCCATTCTTTTGTACAGTAATCACGTTTATGAACTGATTGGAGTGTTTGGGGCTATTATGCTTTCAAAATTACGTGATGAAGTTCATTCAGGAGAAATTAATATCACTGCATATTTGTAGACTTTATCTGAGTCAATGCTGAGATATGGTATAAGATCGCAAAGAAATATAAATACTATATTGCTTATATATAGAACATCATAGTGACAACAGAAGTTTACGAAATAATCCGCACGGCATTGAAAAGAATGAGAATAACAACTGTCCGAGAAATGTTGGCATGTAATTATTTTAATATTTTTGGGGTTGTTTTTATATTTAATAGTTGTACGAAATAGAGTTTATATTTAGTTGTAAACACCACCCCACCCAACAACAACAACACATTTTGTCATTGGATAAAGAGCCCATGTGAATGACTGGTAATACTAGTTTGAAGCTTAACACTAAACCTGTTGAGTACTTACAGGTTGCTGCATTTGTATGGGAAAATATAAACTAGTTATATCGGATAGATATACTCCACGACCTTGGGACTGCAGTTTATCCATCCGACACAACGAGTTCATATTGTCCAATTTTTTCATACAACTGTAGTAACTTTTTCATTATATGCTTATTTTCTTATTGTACCTCAGGCTTAATTATATAAACAAAAGTACACTACAAGATACAAAGTAACATAATTTACGCTGTACATTAAACTAAAAACACAAGCACAGATTCATCATTATCAAACAACAATATCAATGCGCACATTACCCTGAAAGAGACTTTCGAAAGAAATTGTCGTTATGGTTACATTAAAAATGGAATTTAGAGCCATATTGTGAATGAATGCACATTGCAACAACTTTTCCTTTGGTTAGAAATAAATAGAATTTAGTATTTTTGTAGACTCTACTAAATTTCGTGATTCTGGACTGGACTTGTCTGTGTCAGTTCTACATGAAGTGTGCATGCGTGTGTGCGTGTGCGTGTAATTTAGATTCCTAACTTAGCTTTAACAATTTTTCAGTAATATCGCTACGATATCTGCAGCGTGACAGTTGCCAGTGATGTCTAGCATTGGAGCATCATGCCGCAGACATCTGGCATCATGCCCTAACCAGTCACATTATCCTGACACCAGACCGACCAGTTCTAACCTTTTAATGCTGAACGTCAGCCAGACAGCTGATGAAACCATTTTTATGTCTTTGGTATGACTCCGCCAGGTTTCGAACCCGCGAACTTCCGCATCCGAAGCGGACACTATAACCACTAGGCCATGAAATAACATCTGATTTATGATGCGAGAGAGCGGTGTGTTGACTCGTCTGAATGTGTGTTTCTGTTCTGTCGTTGAATGTTTGGAATCATAATGTATGAATGAACATTTTCATTTGTAAAATTGATCAAAAAGACGCTATGGAATTTAATGTTAATTTTATTTTGATTGGAAAAAGTAAGATGTTTATGTAATTAAACTATGAACCCATGATATGGGTTATGTAATTCGGATTTGCAAAACTAAGAAAGTACATTTTAAGCAAATTCAGAATGTGAAACTGTAAGCATATCCTTTACCATTCTTATTAGCAGCTAAAGAAGACACGTTTATGCTTTGTCACTTGCATTTTATTTATTGGGACCCCAGTAATTTTATGACTTGTCTGGCGCCTATCGCTAGCTTAAATCCCAAACATTGTATCAAAAAGTTAACGCAGAATATTGCAAAGCAGCTAGTGTGTAGCATTCTACGAAACAGCTGCTTTAATTTAGTCATAAACAAATTTAATAAACCAAAAACGTAAAGCTTCTACTACGTGAATGTACATGATTTGCTTACAAAGTTTACAAAGTAGTTTATCTACACTATACTGCTACTGGGGACACGTGTCGTGCACGTGAGTGCAATATGAACGTGTGCAAAATCGTAAAATATTGTACGATTCTTACAATGTAAATTTAACGTAAAAAAATGAGCACATGGTAAGGAAACTTGTTATTCAGTCCAATTACTCTATTCCTCTACCAAAGAACTATAAATACAAGGGGATTCTGAAATTCAGTGGAAAGATTATCAGCTGTTATCAACCTGATTTATATCACACACTTCGTTGCACTGAAATAAATCCCAGAACAACGCTACATTATTACTCGTCTTTTGCTCTATAAATGAAGTTAAGCTTACTTTAAAAACTGCCTCTAATTTCTGCATAGAACAATTTATGTGCTGCGCTGCACATAAATAACCAAATAATGAACAGACAATTTTAAGACAGGGAAATTAGGACAAATGTTTAAAGGTGACGCGCGATTGCTAGAAAACCTAAGTAATCAAATAACTGATTATGATCCATTATACAAATGGAATAATAAACACTAAAAATGAAAATTATATTGTAATAATCAATATTCTCTCAGAGCGTTCACCTCAACTGATCCAATAACATGGGCCATGCCATGCGCAAGAGCGGGGTTGATGGTATACTTGGCAACATATCTCAAAATTCTCTCATTGTCGCTTTCCCCCTATTTAAACAAATATAATCGTGAAGAAAATATTAAAATATACATGGTTACATTATACAAATGGAGATATTTGGATTGGAAGAGAGAATTACAAAGCATATCATTAAATATAAACTATAAATGTTGTTTATAAAACAAAAGATTAAAAACTCTCGGTGCAATCAAACATCTAGCTTTTTCTTTTATCCTAAAAATAGTGTTTCCTATTTAATTAGACCCTTTATTTTTAATGTCGAAACATACTAAGGCGAACAATATTGTAAATTGTGTAAAAACTTCCTTTACCATTATTGATATAGCATCAAGACAAACAAAATGTACAATCTTATCACACTTCATTTTTTGCACATGAATAGATTTTATTAATGCGTTGCAATATCCTCGTGGTTATATGTTCTTGAACAGCATACAGTTTCCTCCTTCAATCTCCCTCTGAAGAGTTTCATTTTGTCTGCCGTCTGCCAGGTCCTGCAGATAACCTCACCAATACGCCCCATCGCCTGAAAACACCACAGCTGCCCGTTATAATGCAGTATTGATACACAATTACGTAACGTTTTTTTAATGCTGACAAATTTATACTTGCAAATTAATGTATATTATTACGGAAAGGTTGGTTGAGTGTGCAACCTTGCCCCGGACTGTTGCGAAATCTGTTCCAAACACTCTTTAAAATCAATGGTTATATTTGAAACTTTATTTTTTTTACAAAATGCTTGAATAATATCTGAAAAGGAAGGCTGAACTCCCCGTATTTTAATTCCTGAATATTTCATTTCAAGCATGTCCAAATAATGACCGCTTTAATTGCATCATTTATTTCTTTATTCAGATAAGATCTGATGTAAATTTAATAATTAATCAGGACTAATGTGGTCAACAAATTTCTTTAGACACCCAAACATTGTCATGGCTAGAACAAGACCGAGATTTTATGTCTTTCTCATAACCATGATCGATTTTTTTTCTAAATTAGATTAAATTCAACTGAATTTAAATATTATAAGGCTATAGAATATTGCAATCTGAACTCATGGTGTATCGCACTAACGTATTACTCCAACCAATCATTATACTACATTTCTATCAGATCCAGTTAATTAACTACATGCTAAATTTAACCGAGGCAGTCATAGTTTTGTTAATCCAGAATAGGAAGCATCATATTGTAAATTCAGCGTAGATTGTATGGCATCTTTGCTGAATTAAATGCATTTAAATGAAATAAATGCATTTTTAGCGTCATTGGTCTTTCTAAAACAATGCGAATCACATTTGTAAGCGTTGTAATTCTTTGCCAGGCTAACAAACTGAATCTATTGAATATTGTATGTTCTACTGGAATTAAGCAACCGACTGAATACTAAATTACATTACTCCCAGATCAATGGCTCATCAAGACAAAAATTAAAACAAATAATATTGATTATCTTAGGGACTACAGTGGAATAATTGGCAACCGATTGGTTTAGTGAGGTCTTGCGACCTTCGATGCTTAACTATTGTAGTTTAAATTATGATGGAATGTTGAAAGAGTCAATGGCCATAATATTCCAAACAGAACTGTTTTCTGTCAAACTTGGTATGAAGTGAAACTGATCTGATGAACTGAGTGCAGCCCACCTGAGAGTCTGACGACATAATACTAATCGCCCCAAGGTCATGAAGGATGTCCTCTGCCGCTATTGTCTCTGCTCTGATTCGAGATTCAGCAAACGCAACATCTTCCTTCAGGTTTCTGAGGTATGATGACGATAGCATTGAACGGTATTTTGAATACATTATAAAAAAATATACAAAATTATAACTTGACTTTTAAAGGCGATATAAAAATAAAACATCTTATTTATAAGTACCGTTAAAAACACAAAAAGTCACAAAAACTTGTTTTGTCCTTATTGCAAAGGAGAGGCCGCAGCTGTCATTAATACAGTATGAACATGATCATTTGTAGACAAGGGACAGATCTCAGCTTCACTAAATATACAGTTGAATGAAATGAAAGCAAGAAAAAGCTTGGAAAAGTTTGTGTGTTATGTCTATCGTTGTTCCTATGAAATAAGATTTCACGAACATAGTTACCAATACTCCAAACAGAAGAGGTCCCAGGTTTGTGATCATCCGAATTCTCTTGTTGAACAGGTAAATAAAATAGACACCGCTTTCAACAGATACTTGATAGTAGCAAAATACTTAATGTATAGGGTCCATTCAGACTTAATTCTTCATGTCCTACCACGTAATTTTGTGCACCGTAATCATCGGCCAATGGGATCAAAGGTATTCAGTTGTAATGGAACATGCATGAAATTTATTGAACTTTCGCGAGGAAAATTACTTTTAATATTGTGAAAGGCTTTTCAGGCTATTACAATGTACATATTAAACGGACACAGGAAAGCTTATATCAATTTTGAATGATATCAGTAGTAGTCTATCCTTGAGCTGTATCAAGTATCAGCATCTTTACAAGAAAACTTGCACAGATCAAGGTTCGTAAATCTCTCCCATAGTATCTTGCAGATAAAATAAAATTTAAATTATATCTAGCTATATTCCTTTAGGGGCCTACCACTATCCCGATAACATTTATTTTCGATCTTAACGAGATTAAATTTAATACTTGTTAAGTAAACTCGTGAACAGTTCATGTGTCTCATGGCTAAAAAGATGTATGTTGATAAAAACATGTCCTTAATTTTGACATCACATGACCATCAATATTTAAAATTACATTTATCTGTATGGGAGGAATGTATTTGTATTTAAAGAACCACATTAACAAAATTCAATATAACTTATAACACGTTATTTTTTTTCTATTTTAAGAATATCATACTAATTGGCACATTGCTTTAGCACGTGTTAAGCCCAAGCAACTTCGCTCATATACTATCTTGTACAAAGTTATGTCTAATAGGCTCCTGCTGTACAATGTTAATTATATGCGTATGCTATCAGAAAGACAGGCAAGTATTCTGGATCGACAATGTTATTAAAAGATGGACTGCAAACAATAATATCTAATATTCAAGCAGTGTAACTAAACGTTTCGATGAAGTGTAGATACTGGTCAAAGCACACGAACTTGCCGTGTACGTTGAGGCCAAATGATAAGGTTTAAATTTTGAGCTTCTGTTTTAAAACTCTTGCAAAATATATTTAATAGTTCTGAGATATAGCAAACTAAAAGTTAGTGAGTATTTAGGAAAGTTATTAGTCCTAAGGAGAAACACACATAACCGAAAATGGTATGTTCTTGTAAAACAAAAGCCAAGGTCAAAGGTCACTAAATCATAAGTAACTTTTTAACATAATTTTTATGAAATATTTGGTTGCTAAAATAAATGAAATCACTTCAATGTAGTCTTAATTAAAATGTGGTTCGTCTCTAAAGTTTAGTTATTAATTCTTATCTCTGGGAAATAGTTTAAAATTACAACTGAAAATAAAAACAGTTCCTTGATGAGATAGATGCATCAAAGATGATACTAGGTGTGGCGACAGCGACGACACCATATGAGAATGGACATTATCCCTATATCAATGTTTGGTGCAAAAGGCAGATATACAGTTGAATCTTCTTCTCTCAAAACTGCATTATTCAAATCTATTTGTGCTTACTTTGTATTTCCACCTACAAATTTGGATAACTGATTTTAAGGCGACTCAGCACACTTACTTGTCCAGATGATGGCAGACCATCAACATATCCAGATGTTCGTCAGTTGTATTGGCTGTGTATGGACGTGTTGGATTGGTGG